TTTGTTGTAATCGTTTTTATTAATCAGTCAGTTGTAATATTATTTTTTTGCTTTCTAGAGGAATTTCCTGTCTTGGGCAGTGTTTGATCTCCTGAGCCAGGCAGCGCCTTATGAGGCTGAAGCAATCTGGCTGTAAGCTGATGGTTGCTTAGAATATTTTGATATTACAAAAAAGGGAGGTCGTCGCATAAGTGAGCGTGGACATTCTGATGTTTCAGAGCACTTCCGTCTCTACCCGGGATATGTCGGTTATTGAGATTGCACAGCTTGTGTCAGGGAGCGCCCCACATCTTGCCCAGAGCCCCGGGATCCCATCACCTGACCCTTCCTCCTTCCCTACGGCCAAGCGCCAGGGCCCCCAATAAAGCCTGGGGCGGGTCAGCAGTGTCCTTTGGGCCTGACCGGCTTCTGGGCCTGACTGCCCTTGAACGAGCGCACGCACCCTCGAGCCCTTCGAGCCCTTGGAGCCCTTCGGAGTTTTGTCCCGCTGCCCAGGCAGGTTGGGAGTGGAATTCTGGCATTCCAGTTGGATTCGGGCCCAGAGCGAGAAGCTCCAACAGTCACCTCACGGAGGCCCTGCAGGGGCTGCACCCCTCCGCCCGCCCTACGGGTGCAGCAGTTGACAGCCCCGGGCTGGCCCACACAGGTTCGGAGTAACGCGCCTGGTGGGGGCCCTGACAAGTGCATTTCCCAGACTGGAAAGTTCACTTCCCAAATCACTTGTGTGATCAATAAGAAAATGACCGTATTTGGACTTGAATGAAGGTTAAACCGATGACACAAGTCAAGCGTTTACCATAGAACCAGGCATGTCAAATGTTCCATAAAGTAGCATTTGTTGTTATGACTACAGTGGAAGCAAATGATAAATAGTGCAAAGTTCTAGAAGTTTCTGTAATGGCCTTGGTGCTGAGCAAAGTCGAGGGCTGTCTTTGAGGCAACCGGGTTACACTGCTGGGCAGCCTGAAAGAAGCAGCGTCGGGGCCTTTGGGGGACAGTGGTGAGCGGCAGGGGCGCTCAAGACCAGCAGCGGGCTCCCTCCGGGTGGAGCGTGGAGCGCTAAGCCTGGTTTCCGGTGGAAGGTGTGAAATTCACTGAGGCAAGTTTTGAATTCGAAATGGATGCAAACATTGCCTCCTCCACCATCACGTGTGGCGGTCGTTTTAAGAGGAAAGCGATGGATAAGAGGTAACTTTCAGAGGAAGGTGCGTTCACAGCTCTTAGGTGAGGGCGTCGGCGGCTGACAGGGTGCAGCGGCGACTGACAGAGGGCGAGGAGATGCTGAGGCCTCACGGGAGAGGGCTGGGAGCTCGCGATCATGGAGCCGAGGCATTGAATTGCAAACCGAGGCAGAACTGGTTTTTCCACCGCGGCGAGACTGCAGAAGCTCTGCGACGGGAGAGGCGCCTGCCCGCCTCAGAAACGCAAGCGCGGGTCGGGCCTCACACACGGCTGGCGTCTCACCACACGGCGCCTTTTCTCTGCACACTATTTCGAGCAGTTAGTTACCCGGAAAACATTTTTTTCTTTATGTTGATATCGCAAGCTCCCCCACACCGAAGTTCCAGTCACTCCTCAGACATAACGTTTTCCGACGCTCTGGGTCTCCAGACAAAACCCCACAAATACACACGCGGGCACCCCCGAACGAACGAGGCGGGCAGTAGGGCGTGGGGGCGGGGACCCGAGGTCACCAGCTGCGGTGGACCCCTCTCCGGGAGCCGCCATTTTTCGTCAGGCCGCGCTGTAGATTGGGGTTCTAGAAGCTTCCCTCCCCGCTTCGCCTTAGCTTAGGTGGCCGCGGCCACTCGGAACAGGCGTCCTTTGTTCAGGAAGAGCAGGGTTCTTGGAGTGGTCTCCTTTAGTTGTGTAAATGTGTGAGCAGACACCCCTTGCCCGGCGGGGAGGAGGGAGCCGGGCCTTTTGTGGTCTGACAAAGGCCCCTAGGAATGTGGCGCTGGAGGCCGGAGCCGGAGACATTTTGCATTCGAATCCCAGGCCCTTTGGGAGGAAAGGCCCATCCCCGCCACCCTCGCTCCTCTGCAGCAGGCTGCGGAATGGCTGCAGGTACTTTCCCAAGGGCAGTCAGAGGCTGCCCGCCGCAGGCTGGCAGCCCAGGGCCAGGCGCTCCCTGCTTGCTGCTGCTGCCCTCTGGGGAAGGGTATCTGCCCTTTGGGGAGAGGTATTTGAGGGTGACGACGAG